AGTCCCGCCTTAGGCATGAAAGCCGGCTGGGTGACTTTGGGCCAGTCACTCTCTCTCAGCCTAACTCATTTCACAGGATTGTTGTTGTGGGGAAAATAGGAGGAGGAAAGAGTATTAGGTATGTTCATCACCTTAAACTATTTATAAAAACTAATAAAGGCAGAATAAAAAAAATATTTAAAAAAATGCTGTCCCAAATTTTAATTGCTGCAACATCCCAGCATCCATAGGATTTTTGTGATTTCCCACTCCAATAGTGAAGAGAGGACTTTGGAAGATGAAATCCAATATCAGTTTTCTTGCTGTCACCTTTGTCAGTCTCCAAGCCCAGCTATTCCCAACTTGGAAAGTTTGGCTTCAGGAAGGCTCCAAAAGACTAATTGTGGAGCTTCGACAGTGAGCTAGGTTTCTGCTGGATTCTACACCCTCTTAGTGCTCATTGATTGATTATGTGCCATCAAGGTGGTATCAACTCTTAGTGACCACATAGCTGGATCTTCTCCAGCATGGTCGGTCTCCAGCCTGGCCCTTCAGGTCTCTCAGTGTTGTACCCACACCACTATAATCAAGTCCAACTGCCTTGCATCTAAATCTTCCCCTGCAAGGAAAGGGCTTTTGAAAAAAGCCAGGATGAAGATGGAGAGATACAAATGTGTCTAACTTTACTTGGGCCCTGTTGGCAGAAGTCCAGCACACTGGATTCCTTGGAGCCCCTGGCATCGGAGGCCTCCAAGGACAGGTATTGGGTAGTCCTGTTTCTATGGTTCTAACTGCTATTTATGAGGTGGTGAAAAATAAAACAACAAAAAATAAATGTGCTCGAGTCAGGACCACAGAAGTAATGATTTAACAGTTGGGATCTATTCTTGTCTTCTGGAGAGAGGTTAATTCCTATGGCACAAAAGAACCCCACACATAAAATCTACATCTGCTGAGGCTATCAGGAAGAAATGTAGAAGCTTCTAAGCAGCATCAAAATCAGTAAGATAGTGCTCCTTGTGAAATCAGTTTGTTGACGGGGTCAATATTGCAGTTATTCTGGATCAGTGTTTGAGACTTTAATCAGTATTTTAAATGTGTAATTTTAATTACTGTTTTCCACCTTTTGGTTTTTTAGGAAACTCTATGCAGAGCTTTGTCAAGGTATAGTGGATGTAGCCATCTCTTGCATCTTTCCTCTAAATGACACCATTCAGAAACAGAGCCAACCATCCGTATTTATAAAGTTGTGATGATTAAGATAAAATGAACACATGGGAAAGCTGCCACCTGTTTGGATCCAGGGAAGATCAAGAAACATTGAACATTGAATCTGCATGTCATGCCAAAAAAAAGAAGGGAAAAAGTGGCATAATTTTTTTTTAATTTCAGAAGAGGAACAGCTCTCATCAACTCCAAATGTTTTAAAACATTGTTTCAATAATAAATCCTGTAACCGAAGCCAATCTTTATGTTTGAGGACAACATAATCTTTTTTTAAATTTAAGCAGAATCAGGGGTATGATCAAGTTCGTCTTCACCTATCTTTTTCCTTCTAATTTAGTAAATTATTTCAGCAAATGCAAGTACCAGTATCCTTGAGAGGCTGAAGGTTTTTCCACCAAGAGTTGTAGATTTTTTCTTTCTTTACCTGCTGCAGTTCTAGTGCCTTAGCTTTGTTCCCAATAACTCTCCAAATTTGCTTTGTTTGTACAGTGTTGCTTTTAAACTGAAACAAAAAAGCTGCCCTGTTTTGTGTGGTATAAAATTTCTTGAATATCTTTGCCTTTATACATGTATTTGTTCATTTTTTTTAAAAAAAAGTTCTTTGCTGGAAATTAACTGCAGGAGACTGCAATATCCTTTTTTCTTCTGACAAGCTGGCACAATTGCAAAATCCTATTATATTCTTTTTTTCAAAAAAAAAACTCATCCCTTTGCTTGTCTGTTTGGAAATTGCTCTTTGCTTATGGAAATGTTTGTGAGATACTAAAATGGAAACTTTTAAAGGCCCTTGAACCTTTCCTTGTTTGGCAAATATTGATTGGATCCATGCATTGCAATGAGCCACAATGTGTGAATTCACCCAGTATAGTATCGTCATACATGTAACCCAGGCCTTATGTTTTATGCTTAAAATCCTGGCTCAAATAACATAGCCATTGTACCTCAGTTCACTTGTTATAGCAAAACAATGGTTTGATTGTTGGAGTCTACATTATTCCATCTCTTTCTATCATTTGTGAATTCTTATTCCCTTTCTGGTATATCCAATCTGGATAAACTGATGATAATCACATCCAGGGCAATTGAGTCCAAATCGTAACTGAAAACCCAGTTCAAACCATGTGCAGGAAGCAAACTGGAACTACAGTAGATCATAGTTTGAGGGAAGGTTGTTCATGTCTCCCAAAAAAGTGGCAGGGCATTTGATTTGTCCAAGGCCTGTATTTCTTGCCAGTGTTAAGTAACCCAAAATAACACAGTTAGGTTCATGTATTGTACCAAGCTATAGTTTGTGGCTAAATCACAATTTGTTGGTTGCATAAGCTAAGCCAAATGAAACAAGTTACATAATGGCTTAGCATATTTTAACTGAAAGCCACTTTGAATGTTTTGCCTTACTGGAAAAGTGGTGCATAACAATGAGTAACAGTGCCATGCATGAACCCAGCCACTGTGTGTGAGCAGTCACCAAGTGGAGACTCTTCACTCAGAATCAGCATTCTCCCTCTTGCTCCCCTAGAGAAAAAGGGAACGTAGAAGGAGAACGGCTAGATCTAGGGAACTTGCTGCCAATCCACAGGAAGTGAAATGGAGTCTGGCCAGACATCTCTCATGTCTTCATTTCATTGGCCCTCTTCTAAAATTAGAGCTGTGCTGGATATGCAAACTTACAGTCAGCAAGAATACACTCAGTGAAGCAACGTAATTGATTTTTTTTTTATAACTGATACTGCAAAATTTTATCTCAGTATTAAAATATAGCTTTCCCAAAGCTATTTCATAATTTCTGACATCCGTAAATCAGGCAGTCTCTTTATCATAATGAGAAGATTGCTTCTCATTATCACTCTGAGATAGTTTGTGTATTCTTAAAAGGGATGTAATCCACTGACATTCCCATCTGCAAATTAACAATTTTATTTTAGGGTGTAATTTATAGTATAAAAACATTGACTTACAAGAGTGCTTATAGCAATCTTAAATATAACAAGTTAGGCCATGTGCAATGGAAAATGCATACCACAACATTTAAGGCAAGAATTCTCTTAATATTCAAAGAGGTAGGCAAAATAGTTCAGATTTCCTGTGTACTCTTAACTGTGCACTGCCACAATTCCTTGGGAAAAATGGGGGTGTAACTATATAGCTAATACTGTACTGTAAACAGTCTATAATTTATTTTAGTGTCTTCAGAATGTTTAGCAGAAGAGAAGACACTGATTGCAAATGTGTACCCTGAACTTATACATACCTACTTATAAATAAGTTCAGTAATTTGAAACTTAGTTTACCTACAGGTTCTTAGGGTCATAGCCTTATGCTGAAAATTCAGGAAGCCACAACACACTTTGCTAATATTTCTTGTTAAGATCATTATAGATGTTATATAAATTACACTGTTGTTCTAGATATCATTGCATGTTGCATGCTGTAATAGTTTAGGTCAAAGTTGTGGGTCAGTTTTGTAACTTAGGAAAAAGGAATGAAATTAGCCATTTATCAGTGGAACAACGTGCATGGCCTGGCAAATGTAAACCACCCAGTCTTGCTTCTACTGAAGTCAGATAAGGAAGATTGATTGGATAACAATATTGGGGACTGTTGGATGGGAGTTGCAGTATTATTGCTGCTACTAATTATTACATTCATAGGGTATAAATCCTATTGTACTTAGACTGACTCAGATTGATGGGAATTACAATACTACTACTACTACGTACGTTCATAGAATATAACTTCTGTTATACTTGTATAGACTAACACAGGCCCATGCTTTAAATCTGCAATCATATGCCCAGGAAGGTAGAAGAAATTCCATTAGGATTTAAAACCAAGGAAAGATGTTGGATCAGGATGATCTATAAATCTGATTAATAACAATAGAGTGAGGAAAATGTTTACATACAAGAGAATGTGGTCCTGGCTAGAATTCATGGAGAGCCACACAGGCAGGGTAGAGGCGAGGAATGGCCAGGACCAAGCAAAAAACTGTCTAGGGACACTCATACTCTCTCTGAGCCTTTCAATTTTCTCTCTTATCTAACTCTCTCCCATTATGTGGGGAAAGATACTTCTCAAAGTTTTGAGTAGATCCCTTGCACAGGTCTTTAGAAATTAGGCCAAAAGCAGATAGTCTGTTCCTTCCTGCAGGAATGATTGATAAGGAATTGCAGGCACATTAAACTAAACATTGGTAACAATTACAGAAAAAAATGTCATGAATACCAGGCTTTTGACTGACTAGCTTGCAAGTATGTACTCTGAATATAATGAAATAATGTTTGCCTAATACAATTTATGTGGAATACTTGCAAATGTATCTCCTAAGGGATGGGATCGCTCAAGACTTTTGCTTAAATCACAACAAAATTTTTCAGCTGAGGATGTTTGCTTTGCCATGTTCATTTGACATTGAGAATCTATAAATTTTGGATGTCATAGCAAACCAAGCTAGCTATTGCAGTGTCCTAAGTTTTCCAGGTAAGATTAGTTTGAGAACTGATGTCTTGAGGCACATCCTTTCAGCTCTTGTTTGCAATTACTAACTCTATTGGCATCCAAGTGTCTTTACGACATGCCTCACTTTAGTTTTAGGTAGTAGATGCTGAAATGTTAGTGTTTCTGTTTCTTAAAAAATAACATACTTTTCTATTTATTGTAATCAGACTGCCACATCTGTTTCTCCATTAATTATGATTTTCCATTATTAATTTTTATAGTGTTATTTCAGTGGCTAAGGAGGCAGGATGTAACTATCAGTGAAACTACTAAGATTTTCTTGAATTATGTATTATTTGCATTCAGTCTTTTCATAGGCAAAAAATTACAATGCAATATTATTTTTTCAAATAATAGTTGATAATTTGTCACTGGGTCCAAGTAGACAGTTTACAGTTATACAATTGAATTTACATGGCAATGGGATATGTTTTTGAAAAAAGTGGATAATAGAGATTTGGATGTTGGAAGTTCTGCCAACTTACATTGCCCTGAAACTTCCTTTACATGCACACATTGTATAAGTTAAGACAGCACGCAAAGTAAAAGCTATACAGGATAATTTTGTGAAAGAATTCACAGATGCAGAATTTACTTTTAACTTTTGGGCTCAATGTTTAGTATTGTTGAGTATTTGGGAAAGTCTTGTATAGAAATATTAAGATAGCACACATGATTTTTTAAAACAAAATCTCTTAAAAGGGCTGTATTCCACCTTAAACAATTATCTGTATGGCCTTTTCTGATATTGGGTATATATTTTATACTGTATCTGATTTGTGCATCTTTCATAATGTGATGGAATCATGCATGCTGATGTTTATTAAGCAGTCAAAATCCACTGGACAGTAGATTTATTCCAACAGAATTTGGGAACTGGGGATCTACAATCCTTCAAAGCAGTAAGTAGTAAAAGCACTAAACTATAAATACTCATATAGTCAGTACATTTGTTCCATAAAATGATTGAAGTTTTGTATACAGGTAGTCCTTGACTTACGACCACAATTGGGACCGGGATAGCCATCATTAAGTGAGTCACACCTGATTTTACGACCTTTTTGCTGCAGTCATTAAGCAAATCACGTGGTCGTTAAGTGAATCTGGCTTCCCCCATTGACTTTGCTTGTTGGAAGCTCCCTGGGAAGGTCACAAATGGCGATCACATGACCCTGGGACACTGCAACCGTTGTAAATACATGCTGCTTGCCAAGCACCTGTCAGGCCCAGCCCAAGAACGATGAAACAGTTGAGTATAGTTGCTTATACCTTATAGACAGAATCTTGCCAAATTAAATCTATACTACAACAACTAGTGGATATACCCTGGGAGATTCTAGGGAGTGGCTACCCTCAACCTCTTAGTCTTCCCATACTTCCCCTGCAAGCTGTGTCGTCTTTTGTCTCCTTTGCCCTGCTAGAATGCACCCGGTCCTTCCTGATAGCCTTCATCTCCCACATCACTCTCCTCCTTGTAGATACATTCCATCATGGTGCCCAAATTTTTGATCACATGACTGGGAGACGCTGTGACAGTCGTAAGTGCGAGGACCGGTCGTAAGTTGCTTTTTCCAGCACCGACATATGTTGTAATATCGAGCAGTCATTAAACAAATGGTCATAAGTCAAGGACTACCTGAATTAGATACTGGCAAAAATATTATCTTAAATAGAGTTTGTTAATGAATGAATAAATGAATGAACCTGATTTTTTTCTGTAGCAAATATTTAAAAAATGAGGTTTTGTGTTATGTCCAAATGTTGGTGTACAGTATCCCTTCAGATATTTTGGTAATGCATTGACGATAATGAGGACAGGAATCTGCCAATTAAATAAATAAAAGACATAAATACATAAGCCCAACCATTTCATGAATAAAGCATTACTGGTAAGCTGATATATCTATGCCTTTTCAAGTTAATACCTGTTATTTCTATTTTTTAAATACAGTTGCACTGCAAGGTTTGTTAATGCCACTTCGTTTTATTTAATTCTACTTTATATGGCTGGAAGCAGTGTTCCGTGATGGGTTGCTTTGACAAAAGGGTTGAAAAG